GATATAGATTGCTATTTGTTTGTTTATTTACTATGGATAGAATTCACCATTTTATGGTGTAAAATCAGTGTTTTTGAAAAGAATCACCACTCTTATCTAATTTGATTTACTTCAAGACTCCGAGAAAGAAAGCCTCAGTCACATCCAAATGTCTCATCCTCAGCTAAGAACTGTGAACACACCTTCTGTTTCCTCATGATTTGTGTACTCTGGATATTTCATATAAATGAACTACATAAAGTGTGTCTTGTTTTGTGTCATTTTTCACAATAGGTAAATAGGGAAAACAACCCCAGTGTTTAGCACTGGTGGATGCATAATCAAAATGTGAACTATCAAGGCGGGGCTCCCACCTGTAATCCCAGCACTTTGGGTGACTGAGGCAGGTGAATTGCAAGTCAAACACGCACCTTCCGCCTATGAGCCTGTAAAACTCAAAGCAAGTTAGTTACTTCCTAGATACAATGGGGTACAGGTATTGGGTAAATACAGCTGTTCCAATGGAAGAATGAAGCCAAACAAAGGCCAAACAAAAACAGGAAGGTCGCCCCAGATCTACAGTGGGCAGTCCAATCTTAAAGCTCCAAAATGATCTCCTTTTGACCATGTGTCTGTACATCTGGGTCATGCTGATGCAGGAGGTGGGTTCTCATGGTCTTGGGCACCAGGATCTCAAAATCCTGCCACCCCATCTGACTGTCCTCAGACATGGCTCCATGATTGCAGTGTTTGCAGGGCATGCTCCTCCCGTAACAAGTGCAGGGTCACCGAGACTGAGCACTCACAGGCAGAGCCATCGACAGAGAGCTGAAGCATCTACAGGTCCCATCACCAGCCCCAAGACCTAGAGGGAAGCTGGCCTGAATGGCCCACTGTGTCTCTGAGGCCCAGTGAGCCAGTGTCCAGGGCCTCTTCCTGGTTAGAAGGTACAGGTCAAATGAGCTTCCAGAGTTGGGTGAACAAGGTCACGTTCCCTTTCCAAGCTTACTTCCTACTGGGGGTACAGCTGGGCTGAGAGGGAAGGTTTTTGTTGACATCTAGAGAGAAAAGTGAGTTTTGATTGCAGAGCACAAGACATGCTTACACTGTGCACAGGGCAGGAACAAAGTATTTTTTTTCTTTGTACTGAGGAGTACTTCCCTCTGCATATGTCTGCTGGTACTATCTTCATCTCTGTTTTATCTGTAGGATCCTGACTCTGTGTGTGTGTGTGTGTGTGTGTGTGTGTCTGTGTTGTGGGCAGGTCTGTTTGATGGTTGCCAGTCAGAGGCTTTGTTTTCCTGACTGGCTTTCTTTCTGCCTGTGTCTCTGTGCCTTACTGAGGAAGAAGTGTGTGAAGAAGTGTGTGAAGTTTGTTCATCGTGTGTGAAGAAGATGCTTATGTGTCCCTAGCAGCCATATAAGATTTGGGCTTCTTCTGGAACATGAAACTATTGACTTATATTCTCAGAAAACAGTGCTGGCCTTGTGACTTATCCTGAAACCTGCCCTATTTCCTACCCTCATGCACATGGAAAAGTGCTAGAATCTCCATAGGATCTGCAAGACCTCTATAGAATCTCCAGGGGACCTCCACAGAATCTAACAGACCTCCATGGACTCCATAGGATTTTAATAGACCTATAGGTTCTTATAGGACCTCCACAGGACTCCATAGAATCTCCATAAGACTCTCCATGGAACCTCCGTAGGGTTTCCATAGGATCTCCACAGGACCTCCACAGAATCTGGTACAGGACCTCCATGTGACCTCCAGGATCTCCATAGGACTTTCATAGGACCCTCCATAGTTTCTCCAGGACTCTACAGACCTCCATAGAATCTCAGTAGACTCCTCCACGGACTCCATAGGATCTCCATAAGACATGCACAGGACTTCCACAGTTCTCCACAGGGCCTAGGACCTCCATGGATCTTCATAGTATCCACAGGTTCTCTACAAGATCTCCATAGAGTTGTTGTCACATGATCTGCCACTGCAGGGACCAACCAGCATCCCCTACATCCTGAAATTCTGGAAAGGAACACTTGGTGATAGTGGTTATGGATTTCGTACAAGAGGATGTGTGAAACCACGTTCCTGGGCAACTCTGCAGAGTTCCAATCTCAATTCCAAACCTCCAGGGGCCAGGGCCGGAGTGGGTGTCTGGTGTGTCGCTGTGCCTCATTGCACAGAATGGGGCTTCTTGCAGTGTTAATGGAACCTGCCCAGAGATAGAGGCAGGGATTGGAGTTATGCCATACACCAAGGAAATATTAACTGAGGAAACCTGGCTAAGCTTGGACTGTAGCGCTTGACAGGAGACAAGATAAGAAGCGCCTGGGATAGAATGGTGTGGATTTGTTCATCGTGGTGTGAAGAGGAAGATGTTGAGGAAATGAAAGCTCTTCCATTCTGGGACTTGGTTGACAAGAGGAACCAACAGGGCCATCACAGGAGCACACCCCATGGGGGAAGGAGATGAAGGAGGTGTGTTTAAGACACTTGAACTGAGTTTGAGAGAGAAGCAGAACCTTCCAGTACCTGGAAAGTGCGGTTTGTTTCTCCCAAACTTCCTCTTTCTGACTTCTTTATTTCTCTACGTGGCAGTACCTTCTCTTCATTTCTCCATCAAAACCTCCGAGTTTTAGAGTTCCTCATGACACCTGGATGATCAAACCCTTGTTAGAGGAATAGGTAATAACAGCTCTGCTTTCTGTAGGTCATGACACTGTTGGTTGTTTCCTGAGCTCTGCAGAAGCTTTTTAGTTTGATATACCCATTTGTCTATTTTTGTTTTTGTTTGTGTGCTTTTAAGGTTTTATTGATAGAACGTTTTGCTTACACCAATGTCTTTAAAGCGTTTCTCTGTGTTTTCTTCATAGTTTCATAGTTTCCAGGTCTTACTTCAGGTTTCATTCCGCCTGAGTAGATTTTATATCGTGAGAGACAGAGGTTGAGTCTCCTGTTTTCTGCATGTGGATATCCAGTTATGCCAAAGCGTTTATTGAATAGACTGTCCTTTCCCAATATATGTCCTTGCATGTTTTTGATAATTAGTTGGCTGTAATTTCTGGATTTATTTCTAGTCTCTTGCTCTATCTCATTGTCAATGTGTTTGTTTTTAAGCCAGTGCTTGCTGTTTGGTTGCTGTAGCTTTGTAGTGTATTTTAAGTCAGGTAGTGGATGTCTCCAACTTTGTTCTTTTTTCTAAATTGTGTTGGCTATTTTGGTATTTTTATATCTACATGAATTGTAGAATTTAATATTTTTTGTGAAGAATGACACTGGTATGTTGATATAAAAATTAATGAATCTGTAGATTGCTCTGTGTACTATGGTCCTTTTAATAAATATTTATTATTTGAATGTATGAACAGGAGGTATCTTTCCAGTTTCTTTCCTGTCCCTTAATTTTTTTTTTTATCAGAGCTTTATAATTTTGTTTGTAGAGGTTTTTACCTTGCTTGCAAATTTATTAGTAGAGTTCTCTAATGTTTGTAAATTGTTATAAATGGGATTTAATTCCTGAATTCTTTTTCAGCCAATTCTGTTCTTCAGGGTCAAGCATCATGTAAGTTCCTATTTAGAATGGAATCCGGCATGAGCATGGCAGCTGCACACAAATGCCTTTTCTGATTTCACTTCAGAGGAGTCCAGGAGGTGACAAGGCACATGAGCACTGTCACTTTGAACCCAGTCCTGTGTGATCCCCAAAACACCACCTGATTGGGTGGAACTCATCTCTGGAATAACGTAAGCCCTGTGTGATCCTGCAAACCACCACCTGGATTGGGTTGAAACCCATCTCTGAAATAATCCTAAGGCCATGTTGGAGGTCTCCGTCCAGTTCAGGTGGTTTCCACATAATGAGATCAGAAAGTTACATGGCTACTTAAACAAGCCAATTGCACGCGTAGTACTGCACAAGGGGTTACCTTCCGTTCTTACCTGGGTAGTAGTGGCTCATTGTGCACTGACTCCGTGAGGCTCATCAGGCAGGTTGGGGTCATGTTGTGAATGAAACACAAAGTCAACCTGTGAGATCAGCTGGTCTGACAGATCAAGGCCACTCCTGTTTGCCATTTAGTGGCACAGTGCATCCTGTGGCTTAACACCATATCAACTTTAGCCCAAATGGCCTGACAACAAAGTATAGATAGGTAAGAACAGAGATATGCCATTCCTGGTTAACTTCTAAGACAAAAATTAACAGATGCTCTCAAGGATATGGAGGAGAAGAAACCCTTTGTACCTTGGTGGGAACGTAAGTTGGTGGAGCCAATATGGAAACAGTATGGAGGTTCCTCAAGAAACTGAAAGTAGAACAACCACACCATCCAGTAATCGCACAGTTGGGTATATTTCCAAAAGAAAGAAAATCAGTATAGCAAAGAGTATCTGTATCACCGTTTATTATGGTATTCATAATAACCAAGATATGGAATCAACCTATGTCCATCAATGAATGAATGGATAAGGAACATGTGGTCTATATACACCATGAAATAATATTCAGCCAAAAAAAGAAGGAAATTGTACCATGTTCAGCAACACAGATGAATCTGGAGGACATTATGTTCGGTGACAAAAGCCAGGCCCAGAAAGAGGAACATTGCATGTTCTCACTCAAGGGAGCTACAAACTGGCCTCGGGATGGCAGAGAGTGAATGGTGGTCAACAGAGGCTGGCAAGGAGTGTGGAGGAGGGGATGGAGAGAGGCAGGATGGGGCAGAATACAGGTGGGAGAGAAGACAAAGTTCCACGGCCTGAAGCTCAGTAGGAGGACCATAGTCAGCAACAAATTATTGTATATTCCTCATGAGCTAGAAGTGAAGATTTGAAATGCTCTCAACACAGAAATTGCAAATGTTGGCCAGGCGCAGTGGCTCATGCCCGTAATCCCAGCACCTTGGGAGACCTAGGCGGCGGATCACCTGGCGTCAGTATTTCGAGACCAGCCTGGGCAACACGGTGGAAGCTTCCCATCTCCAATAAAAATACAAAAATTAGCCAGCCGTTTTGGTGCATGCCTGTAATCCTAGCTACGTGGGAGGCTGAGAGAGGAGAACTGCTTGAACCTGGGAGAGACAGGTTGCATTGAGCTGAAGATCGCGCCCTGCACTCCAGCCTGGGCTGACAGTGAAAGACTTGGTCTGAAAACAGATATGTATATAAATGTTTGGTGTGATGGATGTCCTGGGAACCTTTATTGATCATTACATTGTACATGAATCAGATTACCACATGTCTTCAAGAAATATGTATGATTATTCTCTATCAAAATTAAAAATGCCATTGACCAATAATTTAAAGCAGATTGTGGGTCACCAAATGAAAGTCAGCGTTCCAGTGTCTGTGTCCAGCGGGCCTTTATTTCTATGTTGAACAATCTTCCAGTATTTCCTGATGTGTAACCACTATTTTGGATTACATAGGGTTATCTACTTCCTTTATTTATGGGGTCTATTTTGAGTTTGCTCTCCATAAACAATGTTGCCTCTTTTGAGTCAAAGTTGAAATAGCCGTGCACGGCTTCTTTTTATACTCTTGTTTCTTTACTCAACCTCATGATCAAGGTTGGCTTGTGTTGCTCTCTTTTGTAGATTTCTGTCTCAGACTTTGCATGCTCGTAGTATCCTAATGTGGAATTGAACCACACTTGTTTCTTTGTTTAGATGTATTTTTGGCTTTTTACGGTTGGTGTTGAACATACACCAGTCCTGCAGCCTATGTTGTTGTAGAATGAACTCCACCACGAAACACATTTCTTCATAGGTTCTGTACTTTTATGTTTATAGGTGTGTGTCTCTTTTCTTTTGCTAGGTACTTCTGATATTCTCCCAACTGATTGAAGTAATTTTCAGTCCTACCACGGATGTATTGGATTTCTAAGTCAGCCCTACTACCTATGACCCGATGTTGTCATTTCGTCATGCGAAAATGAATACCTCGACCTTGATCCCTCTCTTCGGGAATAATTGGCAGATAGTCCAGAAAGCACAGGCTGTAGATTTTCTTCCAGAACCTCCTGGGATCATCACATCTGTCCCTGAGGTTCCACCACTCCAAAGGGTGCACTGTCCTCTCTGCTGTCTACCTCCCGGCTGCCTCCTCTGGGGGCTTCCCTCCGCTGCGCAGAGCCTCAAATAACAGAATCCCGAGGACCACCAGGATCAAGCCAGCCATGCCCATGCGGATGAGATTCTCCACTGTGTAATCCTGGGGATGTGAGGCTGGGGATCATGGACAGAGAGGTGACAGAGGTCAGGGCAGATCAACATCACCCAGGATCCCTGGATGCCCACCCAGGGCATGCCCCCCATCTCCTGTTGACAGACCCTGACCCTCTGTGCCAGTCCCATATCTGAGAGCATCTCCTCACTCATCAGTCTTGGGTCTGACTTGCTCTTGTGATGGGGTGAGGGTCTCAGCTCCTCCTGAGAATGCACAGAGGGGGAGAGCCCTGAGCCAGCCTCTCCCCTGGGCTCTGCGTTCTTATTTTTCCAGGCCTTATGACATGGCTTTCATGGAGTTCTCAATAAACTCCTCCTCCTGGAGCAGGGTTCCTCTCCAGCCTCTCATGGAACTAGTTCAGTTTTCTGTGTTCTATGAATTTAAACATTGTGTTCTGAGTCATCTGGGGAGAGTTTTCTGCACTGAGGGCTCAGGATCTGCAAGGAAAGTGGTCCCTGGTACAGAGGTCACTGAGCCCTGTGTGCCGCCTGTGCAGCCTGGGACACAGGAGCACATAAGCCGATTCCCCCCGAGATGAGAGTTTCCAATAGATCCACCAATGGAGGACCCAGGCTGTGTGGATGAAGGGTTGGTCATCAGGAGCTCCTGAATGTCAGGAGCACAAAGTAGTGAAAGTCTGGGGCTCTCTTTCACTGCAGCTCAGCCACTACCCCCTGAGGTTTCACCTTCCATTTAATCTCTAGGCAGCTAATTATTCATATAGGCAGCAACAGGTAGAATGTGATACACACCAAAAAAATACAACACAAATAGAAATCTATGTTATATATATGGTGTACCCTAAAAGCTCTCTCTGCTTTCTGAACAAACATCTGAACAAACATCTGAAACCACAATAGTGGAAATTTATCAGTCACAGGGATAGTTTTAGATGTATGGGTAGAGATCTATGTTTATGTGTGAGTATATATTATCTGTATACATATACAGATAACTAGGTTTTAATGTCACATAAGATGTCGGTGTGACACACATATGTGTATGTGCAGAGATGGTGAAAGAGAGAGAGAGGGAGTTCAGCTGCACGGTGGTGTTAATTACTTGACGAGATGAGAAGCAGGCAGGTTCAAGGAGCTGTGTCATCAGTGAAAGTCACACTTGGAGGTGACACTGAAGCTGACCCCTCAGCAGGAAAAGGGACAGGAAGGAGCAAGCAATATATTCCGCACAGAGCACCGTATATTCAAGTAAGAGTAGGTTCGAGTTGTCTTCAGCTTGTTTCAGAGATGAATGACTGCTCTGTTCATGGGGTGAGGAAGGCAGAGCAGGAGGGGAGCTGAGCTTCTGGGGCTCTGGTGGATTGGAGACTAGGCTAGGATGAACTGCCCAGGAAAGGGCGGCCCCAGCATGTCTCTGTCTCTGTCTCTGTCCGTCTCTCCCTCCCTCTGAGATCTGGAGAGTGCTGTAGGGTTTCAGGGAGTAGTGCCAGTCACTTGACTTTTTCTTAAAAGATAAGCCCTACCCTCCACAAAACGTCCAGAACAAGGAAGTCCACATTTCTATCTGAGGTTTACCAAACCTAGGGAGTGCGTAAGATCAGGGCTGTTACACAACTGGGTGAGAATAAAAAACAGGCGATGCTGCATAATCTACTTCGCCAGGTTGCACAAAAAGGCCAGTATGAGATTAAAACCCAAATAAAAATGTGGTCAGCGTGGCGCAGAAGAGGAGCCGTGCACAGTCTCCTGAGCTGCTGCGGAGCAGGTGTGGGTCCCTGTGAGGCTCAGGTGTGCGCTGAAGGGGAGCTGCCAGAGATAAGAGAGGTCAGGTGGCACCTGAATTCTTCTCTCTCTCCAGGAGGGTGTCTGTTGGGGCTGGGACCTGGTGAGCTCTGATTCTGAGGTGGAGACATGAGGAGGGGAGCAGGTGGGGCCTCCGTCTTCAACTCCTCAGTTTAATCTTTATCTCTCTGCTGTTCACTCTTGTTCTCTCAGCTCTCTGTTTCTTACTCCTGTTGACTTAGGTGGGGAGCCAGGTGGAGGTCCCTATCTATTTCACCGCTGGGCCGACTCTCCCCCACTCCCCGGGTTTTCTGTGCGGTGTCCAGAGCTCTCCTGCAGAGCCCGATGAGCCTTGAGTTCAGAGAGAGGACAGGGTCAGGGCCCTCACCTGAGACCACTTGTGCCCAGGAGGTCACCGCCTGACCCTGGGAGGGGGCTGAGGGGCTGGTCTCGCGCGTGACCTCTGGGGTCAGGGGACAGGGAGGTGAGGGCTGGGGCTGCCTTTGCTCGCCACATGAACCCAGCTGCTTTTCCCCTAGGCTGGGCCCCAACACCTCCCTCTGCCTTGAACCCCCTACTCCTCACCAGCCCAGGCCTCAGAGCCCTGGGACACAAGCCTGTCCTTGAGGAGGGGAATGGGGCCCCTTTGGGGAGACTCAGACTGCCCTGGAGACGCCGCGTCTCCCAAGAGGCCTCAGTGACTCACCAGCTGTGGAGCGTGGTTCTGTGGGTGGGGGAAGTGGAGCCCCCAGAGGGTCCTGCAAGGAGCACAGGAGGCGGGTGAGACTGGGCTGTCCATGGAGTGCACCTTCCACTCCCACTCTCCTGCATCCGGCCCAGTGGATCTCCTGAACCATTTCCTCTGCCCACCTGGTACTCTGCATGCCAGGCAAGGAGAAGTGGGTGGCCAAGTGCCTAGAGAAGCTCTGTTGGCCTCCCTCTCTGAGGGATGCGTCCCCTCTGGCTAAGCCTCCCTCACTCCATCCCAGCTGAGATCTCCGGGGCCTCGGGCCTGAGCTGAGCCTTTGAGCTCAGAGGGGACAGGATCAGGGCCCTCACCTGAGACCACGAGCCCAGGGGTCACTGGGGGAGAGACAGCAGGTGGGGGCTGTAGCTGTGTGAGCTGTAGCACCTGTAGGTCCCTGTGTGGACTGAGGTCACAGGACCCATGGGGACCAAATGTACTTAGGAGCTCGGTGCTCTGATCTCAGACGAGCGGGGATGGGCTGCCCCCTCCTTGGTCAGAAGGAAAGTGTGGAACTGCCCCCGTGACTGACACAGCAGGGTCACGTTCTTCCCGAAGCCACCGTGGGGCCCGGCTGCACCGAGAGGGAGATCGTGATTTAGAACTGTCCTGGAGAGAAGAAGGATGGGGTGAGGGGCTCCCACCTTGATCTGAGCTGAGACCTCCTGGCAGGCCTCTCTCTCTGGGGCCCTCCGTCTCTCTGTCTTTGTTTTCTCTGGAGTCTCCTCCCCATCCTGTCTCTATCTGTCTCTCCTCCATTGGTGCCCCCTGTCGCCTAATCCCAGCCATCAACACCTGGGTTCCTGGCAGGGCCTGTGCAGAGCCTGGGTCCCTGACTGAACCTGCTGGGCTCCTCACTCTGAGACTTGATGTCCAGGGATCGCTGGGGCCGACCACTGGAGGAGAGGTTGTGTGCACTGTAGCATCTGTACTGCCCCCGTGGGAGCCCCCACAGGCCCAGGGTGAAGTTAACTGGGGGAGAGCCCAGCCTGGCGCTGCTGACCAGGGCTCTGGAGGAAGTCACGTTCCTCCTGTACAGAGCAAATTCGTCGAGCCATCAGAGCCACACTGCAGGGTCAAGGTCTCTCCAGGGCCACGGACAGGCTCTGGTGGGTCAGGAGGGAGGCTTCTCTTGGTGTGACACGCCTGAGGGAAAGAGGAGCCGGACTCAGACAGCTGGTTCCTCCTACTCGCCCTTCCTCCCCTGTCCTGGCCCTGCAGGTCTCACTGTCTCTCACTCTGAGTCTCTGACCAGGCCCCTTCACCTGGGTTGTCTTGAGCTTACCGAGGAGTGGGGTCTCCCAGCCCTGGCCCCGTGTCGATTTTTCCTTCCTTCTCTCTGAGAGCTGGACTACAGCAAATACATTGTGTTTTCTGAGTTGCCTCGTTAGGTGAGGGTTTATACTCTCTTCCCATGTCAGAGCTCTCCCATGGGTCTCCCCCCACGCCCTGCAGCCCGTCCATCCACACATCACCTGGGTCCTTTTCCAGAGTCAGTCACCAGCCAAAATTCCCACAGCCTGTCAGCTGCCCTGAAAGTGGATTAGAGAAGGCCGTGGTCCCTCACCTGAGGCCAGAATCGTAGGGTCACTGCGGTGGGACCACACCTGGGGGTCTCCATAATAGTAATAGCATCTGAACGTCCACTCTGTGGCTGGGGTCACAAATCCACAGGGAACAGGGCCTGGAACTGCCCACCGTGGAGCTGCCGTGAGTCCAGGGTCCGGGAGCCTGTGTTCTCCTTCCTCAATCAGAACAAATGCTGATATCCCTTCGTGAACTACATCGAGGGTCATGTTCCCTCCTGAGGCCACCACAGGCCGGGCAGGGCTGAGAGGGTGGGTTTGCTGTAGGCTCCAGAGAGAAGGAGGCACCGTGTTTAATGGGCTCCCACCTCCCGCAGCATCCCCAGGGCTGGGCTGTGAGAGGGAGACGCCCCTGAGAGCCGACCCCCTTCCTGAGGACAGAGCCTGGGGCTGGGACTCTGAGTGTCCTCTCACCTGTCACCATCTATAGCCGCTGGGCTCTGACCAGCCTTCAGGGCTGACATAGTTACAGCGATATCTCCCTGCCTGGTGCTCTGTCATGGATGGGATGGAGAATCTGGCCTTGTTCCTGGGCTCCACTAGGTTCTGTGCGTCTATGGCACTGTGCTTCCCCTCTCTTTATCCAGCGTCGGTACTCTTTTGGGGCCTCCAGGTCCCCCACACCAGATGGTCACGGGTTCCCCCGGATGATCATAGAGCCTGGCCTAGCCCAGAGGGTGGGATTTGGGAGGGCCTCTGAAGGAAAATCAGAGTATTGATCCCAAGACGTCCTCAGCCCCCAGATCCCAGCTCCCAGCTCCCAGGACCCCCAGTCATCGCCATCAGTCACCCAGAACTGCTGTCTCCTCCCCCAGCTGCCCATGTGTGGCCCCTGTCCCTAGTGAGGAGGAGGGACCTGGGACAACTGGGGATAGACTCACCTGCCTGCACGTGGGTCCTGGGGCCCAGACTCAGCCCTGGAAGAGAGTTCCCAGTGAAGGATTTGCTCCCTGGCCTGAGCAGACCCTGTGCCTGCCCTGGTGCCTCCTGAGCTTTTGAGGTCTCCTGATGGACCAGGGCTTGTGTGTGGGGTGGGGTCCCTTCAAGACTCGGATCTGCCTCTCCCCATCTTGGAAATCTCTACCGAGGCAGAGCAGGGCTGTGAGGGCGGGGGTCATGGCGTCTCCTCCCAGTGGCCCGGGCTCTGCAGATGGATGAACCCTCGGTGCTGGCAGGACAGAGACACACAGGGTGTGGCCGCCGAGGCTGGGTCCTTCTTGTCATGGGATTGTCTCATCCTCAGCCCACAGGAAGGGGAACTGCCTCCCCCGGGAGCCTGGCTCTCATTTCCCCAGGGCTGAGGTGGGGGCGTGCACCGCTCCCTTGCAGACATTTCAGAGAGAAATGTCTCCCGCCCCTCGGCCACTGTCTGCCTGATTTATCTTTATCTCACTGAGGGCCAGGACACAGCAGCAAATAGACCCCGTGACTTCCTCAGTCAGCCCCTTTCAGGTGAGGGCGACCATGGGCTCCTCTTCCTCTCAGAGCCTCTTCCCATGGGGTCTCCCTCCCTCCTTCAGCCTGTCCATCGGCTCAGCATTATGGGGTCCTTACCATGGCAGTCGTCTCTCCAGCCTGGAGATGCTTCAGGGAAGATGCAGGTCCATGCTGCAGGCAGAGACGCAGTGGTCCGCAGAGACGCAACTGACACTGGCTGTGCAGCCCAGGCTGAGCTGCTATGTGCAGTGAGCACACAGGAGAAATGCTGGGTCTACTGTAGGCTCACGCCTGAATCCCAGCACTCAGGAGGCTGAGGCGGGTGATGGCTTGCACAGGAGCTCAGACAGTCCTGGGCAACATACTGCGACCCTGTCTCCACAGAAAAGAAAAAAGTGAGTTGGGCATGGAGGCTCATGCCTGTGGTCCCTGCTACTCAGGAGGCTGAGGTGGGAGGATCACTCGGGCCCGGGAGGCGGAGGCTGGTAGTGAGCTGTGGTCACTCCTCGGCACATCTCCAGCCGGGCGATACAGCAAGATCCTGGTCTGAAAAGGAATAGAGGGGATAAAGAGAAATTATATATATGTTTCAATGTAATCTGTAATCTGATTCTGGGGTTGGGAGCTGATTATTAATTATTATTTATAATAATTATTTACTATTATTTATACACTATATTATTAATTCCTGAGTATCATCCAGGGTTTATGTGACCTTGGACATTAATGTCACTCCTGAGCCTGTTGTCATGAACCCCACTCATCACAGTGGCTGTGGGGTCAGTGGTGCCCAGGACACGGGAGGCTCAGCCGTGGTGAATTTCCAGACCTGTTCAGACCGGAGGGTGGGATGGGAGAGGATCCTGGGTGCTGGGCTCCACAGTCCAGAGGATGATTGATGCCCCCACTCAAGAGCTGACATCGGGCTGCAAAATACCAAGAAGTGCTCCTTTGTGATATGTCTGAAATATGCAGACCACCACAGCCACAGGCACAGAAAGAGAAAGAAAAGTTCCCATCATTGAGACGCTGGCCCCCATCAATGAACAGAGTTCAGAGCTGAGTACACAGGTGTCTGGGACCACCCAGGGTCATTAGGGTGGAGGTTCCCACCTCCGTGTGGGACAGAAGAGGAACCCCGGGTCCTCCCAGGCAGGAGGGGCCAGGGCTCTGGGGTGGGGCTGAAGCCGTGCTCCCTCCCTGTGTGTGTGGACAGGCGCTGGGGGTCTCTGCTCACTCACTGGAGTCCACAGTCAGCTATCAGCCCCTCCCGTGTGTGTGAGAAACAGATTCAGTCCACGGTGCTCAGATATGGGCGTCTGCCCCACAGGTGAGTGTGAGGCTGGCGTTGGTCCCATCCCTGCCGGGCACAATCTTGAGCTGACGCTAAGTTTGGGAGAGTGAGGCAGGAGCAGAGGCAATAATCCTTCACTGTGGCTGATGCCTGACAGCCCTGGGAGAAACCCTTTATGAAAGGCCAGGTGCGTGGGAGGAGGGCTGCTCACAGGAATGACAACCATATGAGGAAAGTTGTCGAAATGCATTAGGTAGACATTGTGAAGGTGAAAAACTATATTAAATTAACACCATTAAAAAGGAATTTATGTCTGGGCGTGGTAGCTCATGCCTGTAATCCCAGCACTTTGGGAGGCAGATGCGGGCAGATCACTTGAGGCTAGGAGTTCAAGACTGTCTAAGCATGGTGAAACTCCCATCTCTTTTTTTTTTGAGACGGGAGGCCGCCCCTGCCGCCCAGGCTGGAGGCAGTGGTGGATCTCAGCTCACTGCAAGCTCCAGCCTCCGCCACCTCAAGGCTTACGCCATTCTCCTGCCTCAGCCTCCCGAGTAGCTGGGACTACAGGCGCCGCCACCTTGCCTGGCTAGTTTTTTGTATTTTTAGTAGAGACGGGGTTTCACCATGTTAGCTAGGATGGTCTCGATCTCCTGACCTCGTGATACGCTTCCATGTCGCCTCAAAGTGCTGGGATTACAGGCTTGAGCCACCGTGCCAGGCCAGTGAAACCCCATCTCTAAAAAAAATACAAAAAATTATCTAGGCATGGTGGTGAGTGCCTGTAATCCCAGCTATTCGGGAGGCTGAGGCAGGAGATTCTCTTGAACCTGGGAGGTGGAGGCTGCAGTGTGCTGAGATCATGCCAAAGCACTTTAGCTAGGACAAGAGTGAAACTGTCGGCCAGGCGCGGTGCTCACACTGTGCTCACACCTGTAATTCCAGCACATTGGGAGGTTGAGGCGGGTGGATCACGAGGTCAGGAGATAGAGACCATCCTGGCTAACACAGTGAAACCCTGTTTCTACTAAAAATACAAAAATTAGCCGGGAGTCGTGGCGGTGCCTGTACTACCAGCTACTCGGGAGGCTGAGGCAGGAGAATGGTGCAGGGAACTCCGCTGAAGGCGGATTGCAGTGAGCCGAGATTGCACCACTGCACTCCAGCCTGGGCTATAGAGCAAGACTCCGTCTCAAAAAAAGAAACTCCTGTCTCAAAAAAGAAAAGCGAAACTGTGTCTCAAAACAAAAACAAAGTAATTTACTAGCCAGATATACTACTATAACATAACAAAATCAAAAACATACTTAATCCAGGACAAGACAGCTGAAATAGTAAATATACACATTAGCATAAATGTCTTTAAATTTTCCATACTGTGTCATGGAAAGAACAGAAATTAAACAATAGAAAATATTAATATATACAGGAAGTTGAATGAGAAGAAAGAACGTGTCTGTCCGGGTTTCAGAATGAAAGAAGGAAGTTAAAGTGATGTTAGTTCACAATATGCACAAAGAACTAAATGGTTGAAGTTTTTATAGAACTGAAGAGAAAACATCAGTTTATAACTAAATTTAATATCTCGGTCATGGTAAAGTAAAAATATGAGGCATCAATTTAAAATAATCCTAAAACTACCAGAGAAAAATGTAAATGACTCCTTGAATGAATGAAAAGCTCATTGACTGGAGTTCGAAAAGAGCAAACAGCAGCCCTGAAGATACAGGAGAAACAACCAGAAGGGGGCTTATTGTGAGGAGAGAGTTCTGTGCTGGGGCTAGTTATTACTATTATAAGTATTATTATTTATTATTATTATTATTATTTTTTTTTTTTTGAGATGGAATTTTGCTCTTGTTGTCCAGGCTGCAGTGCAATGGTGCGATCTTGGCTCACCGCAACCCAATGCTATTATTAAAGGACTAAGTTTCAGAGTCAGCGGCGGGATAAATCCTAAAACACAAGGAGACTTGGGACATTTGAGTTGTCAGGTCAGGCGGTCTTAAGGAGGAATAAGGAGTGGCGTTTTCAGGTCTCTTATCAGGTACCACGATACAACAGAGAAAGAGAGAGAGATTGAGACAGACAGAGAGAGAGAGAGGGAGAAGGAGACACAGAGAGAGAGAGAGAGAGACAGAGCCAGGCATCACTGGAGCTGCAAGCCTGCAGATATGTTTGCATCTAGGCCTTTTCTGAAAGCAATACTAAAGATGTAAATCAGGGAGTGGAATAATGAACCCCAAATGGAGAAGATGAGATGCACGTGAATAAAAGAAGCTGCACAGTACATTCAAAAACTAATAAGCATACATCTATCTGTAATCTGTGTATATACAAGTATATACATTTCTACTAAGAATCTGAAAGAACAAGGAAATGGATTCGCTGGGCTCTGAAGCCTTCAGAAGGGAATGCAGACACTGCCATGGCCTCACTTGTCCTAAAAGACCTATTGAGAATTTGGATATTCAGAACTATGAGAAAATGAGTTTGTGTTGCTGGCTGCTCAATATGTAGTAATTTCATATTTGCAGCAATAGCAAACCAATACTAACACAAACAGCCTTTGAAAAGAAAAATAGTTGATATTTCATACTTTTAAATCAACGATCTATGAAGAAGAGAAAGTTATAGACTTTCACCAAACTAAACTACATGTCCTTAAAATTTGCTAAAAAGCTTCAATTGAGACACAATGGAGGATTTGAAGAAAATATTGATTAGACTTTGATAGATTGCGAACAAAATATTTGTGAAAGTTGAATGGCAATGTAATGTTCAATCTGATGTCATATATGATGTTTTCAGATTGTTTATGTATTATGTAAATTTGTATAGAAACATTTCTGGAATATACATATAGCAACAAAGGGGAAATGCATTCTTTATATATTTTTGAAACAAGGTTCTCTCTCTCTGTTGCTCCATCTGAACTACAATGGCACTATCATAGCTCACCGCAGCCTGACCTCCCAGGCCTAGGTGGATCTCCCACAACCATCTACTGAGTAGCTGGGACTACAGGATCATGCCACCTTACCTAGCCAAATTTTTTAACATGTATTTTTTTGTAGAGACGAGGTTTCTATGTTGCCCAGGATGGTCTCAAACTCCCCTGGGCTCACGATCTGGCCACCCTTGGCCTTCCAAAGTGTTGGGATTACTGGTGAGCCACCGTGCGAGGCCAGGAATACTTATTTTTGAAAACATATTGATCAAAAGTATCTATCTTTTTTTTTTTTTGAAACGAAGTCTTGCTCTGTCGCCAGGCTGGAGCACAGTGGTGCGATCTCGGCTCACTGCAATCTCTGCCTTCTGGGTTCAAGCGATTCTCCTGCCTCAGCCTCCTGAGTAGCTAGGATTACAGGCGCATGCCACCACATCCAGATAATTTTTTTGTATTTTTAGTAGAGACGGGGTTTCACCATGTTGGCCCGGATGGTCTCGATCTCCCAACTTCATG